ATGGCGGGGTGGCAGTTGTTTTTGGTGGCAGTAGACAGCAAACGCAACAAGCACAAAAGGGAGGGGGGGACAGCCTTTTTTTGTTCCTTTTGTCTTATTCAGACTGCTGTAATCAGGGTGGTGCCAATCCGATCAGTGAACTGATCCAGCAGTCACCCACCTTTGATCCCAGCACCCTTAATCCTAACATTGAACCATGAATCAGTCACACACCCTAGATTCAGCCACCTCTGCAAAGGCCTCACGAAAAGGACATGAAGCTTTGGCGGGGACATCTAGACACAAGCCATAACAGGTATAAGGCAGGGAAGTAAAGCTCCTGCTAGCCAGCGGGGAGTTCTGGGTAGGATGTATTTCCATTAGGAGACTATATATTTTTAGGGTCCAGTCTATGCAGTGCCCATGCACCCTTTGAGTTAATAAGCTGCCTTATGCTCACAGCCAAAGGATACCTGGCAGGAGGTTTTGTAAGATTTCTGGAAGGTTGAGAAATCTGTGTAGTCAGCACACTACAGTTTTGGCTTCTTGACTATTTTGGTGGCCACTGTTCTTACTGCTTAATAGGATCCTAATTCCCGTCTGATTCCTATTCCATCAGCACTCTGCACGATGAGGGAGCAGGACTGCTGTGAGTTTGGGGCCAGCCTGGGCTACATAGCAAGATCCTATCCCAACAATCCTCTCCTCCCAAAACGTTACCTTTATGGTCATTTTCTTTTTGCGGGACATCTGGAAGTCACACAGTGTCGGATCCAGTGACAAAGGTAGATGAAGACACACCATAATGTTTTTACGAGCCTGTCTTTCCTTTGGGTAGCACTTAGCAGCAGCATTCACCAGTCTTGATCACACTTTGTAAAGACACTCATTGAACAAGGACTTCGAAAAAGCGGCAAGAACAATGGGATAAGTATGTTCAAAGTAAGGGAATTAATAACAATGTGCCTTTTACTATAATACATTTTTAAAACTTTAAATCATTCACTGTATTTTCTGATCACATTTTTGTATATTACCATGTCTATATAAATTTTTTTTTGTCTTTTTGAGACAATGTCTCACTATGCAGTTTAGGCTGGCTTTGAGCTCACTTTGTAGCCCAGGCTGCCCTCGAACTTGCAAGGATCCTCCTGCCTCAGCCTCCCAAGTGCTGGGATTAGAGGTGTGTGCCACATCTGGCTGTAAAAATTTGTATATACATATGTACATTAAAAAAAAATACACACAGGCTAAGCCTTTTCTAATAGTAAGTTTAACCACCTTAGCTGTAGGAGATTCATTCAAAGATCCCAGTGGATGACTGAGGCCATAACTTGCAATGAACCCTTGTGCTTCTATGTACATGCATGCGATGGTGTAATTTAGAAATTAGCACAGTAAGTACTGTCCATAACAGTAACTAAAGGGAATATGGGACAAGTATAACAATGTTATAGTAAATTTATATTAGTCTTGTCTCTAAAATAGGAAATTTTCCACTTAATATTTTCAGATCAATGTTGATTACTAGTGTCTGAAAGCACAAAATGCAAAACTACAAAAGAGAGACATGACATACCCTAGTCTCAATTTAAAGTTACTGGCTCATTTTTTGTCTGTGAGATTCTTTTTAAAGAGGAAAAGGACAGTCTATGGCGGGTCTACAAGAGAAAAGCAAGGTCATACATTGTTGCTTAATCTTCATTGGTGAACTTCCTGGTGTGAAGTTTTATAGTGCAAAGGACTTTCTAAATGATCACATTCTTATTCCGGTTAATTCTCCCTTTAGGAATTTAAGCATAGAGTGAAATATGCTTACTATTATAGTCTTGTAAATGGGGGACAAACACAAAAGAAAAAATGTAGTGCAATGATGTTGTAAGATACATATATTCTCAGGCTGGCTGGGCGTAGTAGTGTAGTGATCTGCATCTTTAATCCCAGCAGCTCAGGAGACTGAGGCAGGAGGGTCATAAGTTCAAGTTCAACTGAGGCAATTTAGCAGTTTGCTGAGACAGTAGATCAATATGTTAAAAAAATAAAAGATATAGAGATAATTCAGAGGCAAGGCCTTGGGTTCAGTCTCCAATGCCAAAAAAAAAAAAAAGGTGTAGACACACACACACACACACACACACACACACACATACACACACACACACACACAGAGAAAAAGAGTGAAATGTTAACAATATCTGAGTGGTGGAAAAAGAGGTGACTCAGTTGTTAAATATTTTGCTCCATTTTTTAGGTGTTCTGCAATAAATGTTACCTTTATAGTCTACAAATAGGTTGCTTAAAAACAAAAATAGGGGCTGTGGAGATAGATGGCTCAGTAGAATAAGTGCTTGCCTGGCAAGCACAAGGGCCTGAGTTCAATCCCCAGTTCCGCTAAAAATAAATAAATAAATAAATAAATAAATAAATAAATAAACAAAAATAAAGGTAGCAGGTCCTGACAGGAAGGAAAGGATGGATACTTCAATTTTTAGAGAACAAAATGAATCGGTGTTACATGAACTGAAAGCCTTGTGGACCCAAGACCTTGTTCCAGTTTTGCTATTGCTGGGATGTGGTGGCCCTGCTGCTAGAAGTGGTGGCAGGGTTATAGTGTTAGTCATGAGCCCTCCCACACCCCAGTACTGGGGATTGAACCCTGGGCCTGCACACTGAGCTGTAGTCCCAGTCTGAGGAGCAGAATTTTTGAGACAGGGTCTCACTAAATGCTGAGTTGCACAGGCTAGGCTCAAACTTATTATCCACTGCCTCAGCCTCTCAGAGTGCTGAGATTAGAGGCATGCATCACTATGCCCAGCTGAGCCATGTGTCATTCCGGTTCAGCAAAGCCAGTGTCCCAACAAATTAATTCAGTATAAGTCTATGGGATAATGATAGACGTTATTCCAGAATCTTCTAATGATAGACGTTATTCCAGAATCTCCATCCAGTTCCTCTACTCTGGAGCAGGTTTGATGAGGGGTGGATGCAGTCTTCACCTCAGTATTAGTAGTTTCTATCTCTAGGAGCAATCTAGAATTGTTCCACTAAGAAATGTGTATGCTTCCTCCAAAGGAGGAGGCCCTGGGCCTGCTTGCAGGTGCTTTAATCTGCAGAGCTATTTGGCTAGTCCACCAACTGAGCTTTTAATGGCAAGAAAATAAAAGACAAGTGTCAAGATAAATTGCCCCCTATCATTTATTGTTACGGAAATTGGTTCCATTCCTTATACTTCTGCCCTTTCCCATTTGCTGTAAGACATCCACCAGTGCAACAGCATTTGAAACAACACTCCTGAAGTAACCCTTATCCCATTCAAGAGACCCAGCCAGCAATGATTATAGAAGATAAAGCAGGCCTCAATCCAGGGCATCACTAAATGGAGTATTTTCTTGGTTGAATCTGTTAGAGCTGTCTTCTGTCTTTCAGATATGCCATCACAAAAATTGGTATACCTACTTACAGCAACAGTGTCTGTTTATTCTTAACAGATACTGTAGGGTTTGCCTTTTTAATTTCTTTATAATCATTAATATGTTGACAAAAGATTGTAGACAACTCTCTTTCCTCTTTAGAAGCAGGATTAAAGCAGTTATTAATGTATTTGAGCTGGGGATATAGCTATGCACAGCACCTGCCTGGCAAATGCAGGGTTGTGAGTTTGATTCCTGGTACAAAAAAAAAAAAAAAATAGTAGTAGTAGTAGTAGTAATGTATTTGATTACAGGCTGTTTTCTTTTGATGAACACATAGATAAAAACATTGGCTTAGTGAAGCATGCTCTGTGCTATCAATTTTATTCAGAAAAGCAAACTTCACACAAGTACTGTTTGGAGTGACTCAGGATTAATGGTGGTATGCAGCATAGGCTGCATTCCGCTGAGTCTTGGCCTACTGCATACACATTGAACTTGTCTTGGGTATATTCTCTAGTCTTTTTAAAATCCTAATTTATCTTGACACTTGTCTTTTATTTTCTGGCCATTAAAAGCTCAGTTGGTGGGCCAGCCAAATAGCTCAACTGATGGGGTCTGGGGTTCTATCCCCAGGCTCTCCAGGCCTGCTATGCTGGCCCCGCCCCCGGGGCACGCTGAGAAGGCAATTGAGACTGGGTTTGGTGGTGCTCCTATTCCCAGAACTTGGAGGCTGTAAACAGGAGAATCACCATGAGTCCAATCTAGTAGTGAGACCCTGAACACACTGTAGACCCTTCCCTAAAATACAGAAAAAAATAAAAATGAAAATGAAATAAAAGTTCATTTGGGAGTGGTAAGACATGCTTGTAATCCTGTCTACTTGGAAGGCTTGAGGAAGAAGAAAAACAAGTTCAAACCTATCCTGGGCAACCTGGTGAGCCTCTTACTCAAAATAAAGAAAGGCTGTGGGTGTAGCTCAGTAGCAAGGAGGGAAGCCCTAGATTCAATACCCAGAACCACCACCAAAGTTAAACTGTGTGTAGGAGGTGGTTTTGGAGTGGGAGGACAAACTATCTGCCCTAGTTTATCCTGTGTAACTGTTCTAAACCTAGACCATCACTTCCCTGCTGTAATGTGTGTCAGACTAGGATTTACACTGTGCATTACCAACTCTTCAATGGTTGCATGGTACAGGGGGCTCATAGTGATCCTCCTGTTTTCAGCCTCTCCAGCGCAGGGATTACAGTGTGTGCCACCATGCCTTGTCTCGGTGCTGTGGCATGTGGTGTCAGGGATCAAATCCTGGTCCCTGCACTTGTGTAAGCAGGCAGTTAGTCTGCTGAGCTATCTCATGAGCCCTGAATCTTTTTTTTTTGTTGTTGTTCTCTCATGGGCTTAAGGTGGTGGTCGGTACAAGAGTGAACTGGGAATATAAAATGTCTTTGTGGAGTTCTTTCTATAAAAATTTCAATTTTCTGGGCTATGGCCAGTGGGAGTACTGGCTTAGAGAATATTTTGTGCACCAACCACATATCTGGCTGTTGCTTTCAGACCTGAATCTGTAGTTCGAGTTTAGATGTGTGTTGCTAACTTGACTTCTTTTTACAGACAAAACTTACCTGGGGGCCCTACTTGTGGTTTTATGTGCTTCGGGCTGCCACCTCAACCCTCTCAGGTATTGCTCTCTCTCTGAATATTACATAATAGCTGTAATAAGCTTAGCGCACAGGAGTGTTGCCACCTGAGATTTTTCTCAGCTGAAGGAGGAACAGTGGTGGATCATCACTCTGTCCTCAGCAGGTAAACAGCATTAGAAAAGTGTTAATCTACCTCCAACAAACATCCGGCAGCCTCTGGTTGTGTAGTTTTTCTTCTTTTTTTTGTATGTGGGATTGAATTTAGGTCTTTCACATATCTCCAACCCATTTTTTTGAGACAGGATCTGGTTAAATCTAAGCTTGAAATTGTGATCCTCCTGCCTCAAGCATTCCAGTGCTGGGGTTACAGGTATGTGCCACCACACACCTGGCTCTGGTTATATGATTTTTTTTTGTTTGTTTGTTTTTTCGAAAGACTGAGAATGGTAATATTAGCATTGATAGAGCTTTTTGTTTTTTGAGATAGGGTATTATTGTGTAGCTTAGGGTACGTATTTTTCTTAAAGAAACAGGCATAATACTTGGTAAGTATTATTTGCCTCAAACTCATAGTAGTCCTGCTTCGGCCTCCCCAGTTTGGGATTATAGGTATGTGCCACCATGCCCGGTGGAGTTCTCATGTTCTTTTTTTTTTTTTTTTCATGTTCTTGAACTCGTTAGCATTTATTCTACTTTGTTATTTGCTTTCCCACTAGTAGTCTCATTCTGCCTCACTGTTTAGTCTGAGGCCTGTAGTGTAACTACAGTTCCAGATTCCAGTTACACTATGTATATGTGTATGATATGTATATACACATATATGTTAGTGTATATAGTCTATATATGTATGTTTTATATATATGCATATATTTATTTATTTATTTGGGAGGCATTATGGAGAATTGAACTCAGGTCCTAGAGCATACTACTCAAGTGCTCCATCATAAATTACAGCCCCAGCCTCATTTTGTAAACTGAGGTATAAGTCAAAATTGAAATATATTACCAATAACTTAATCATTCTAATTTAAAAGTATTTAAACTATAAAACTTTGTCTGTTGTCAACTTTAAACTTTGAAAACTTCTCTTACTTTCCATTGTTTATGAGGGCACACTGTTTCCAGGAATTGACTGAAGAAATATTTACTGAGCACTGTGTACTAGACAGCGAGATGTAACAGAAAGAGATGAGTTTGAGATTCAAATGTATATTTGAATTTTAGACCTGATGCATTAGGTCGGGCTGTTCTTTAAGCCTAACCTTTCACAGCACCTGCCACATGCTGGGCACTCGGTATTACATGAATCGTACCTCACACTCAACCCACTGATACCCCAGCTTTCTGAGGCTCCATGTTTTTCTTAAAGAAACAGACATAATAATACTTGGTGAGAAACCAATAAGTATACTTGGTAAGAACTGTTATAATAGAAATATGAACAAACTGTTGTTAGAAGGAGGCACTAACGCTTCTTTGGGGAACCGAAAGAGAGGTACTGGGTTTTTGTAATCTCTTTGAGGATAGGAGTAGTAACTTGTATTTCTGTGTCTCACATATAGAAAGTGCTCAAGAAATGTTTATGGACTTTTTAAAAAAAATTTAAAGAGAAAAACAATTTCAAAACAAGATAAGGAATTGTCTCTTTTAACATTTTTATCTTTAGTGTGTGACTTTCTTGGAGAGAAGATTGCATCTGTTTTGGGGATCAGCACCCCAAAATACCAATATGCCATTGATGAGTATTACCGGATGAAGAAGGAGGTGTGTCTCCTTTTTATATTTTCTTAATTCAACTTGTTTGGCTCTGGTGGACTGGATGAACATACCTGTGTACTATGTGGTGGGGATCAAACTCAGTGTCTTGAGGATGCTTAACTAAAGGAGACCCTTTAGTTTATCAAATTAATATATATTTTAAAATTTGTTAAAACTGGAATTTCTGGGGAAGAGTAAAAAGATTAAGACGTGTTACGTATATGTATGAATTCTCCACAATGAATGTAATCATTATGTGCAACAAACATGTACTGGTAACATAAAAAACTTGAGTTTTCCTAAGATCCATATGCAAAACTGAGCTCCATTTTGTTTCTTTTTTTTATTTTATTGAGAAACAAATAGGAATGAGACATTTTCAAAGGTGATTAATAGTTTTGATAATCAATACATTGTACATTGTTATCTTCTTAGTGGTTATCCACAGTACAAGAAGCAGACAGGATATCCTGTCTAAACACTATCACTACAAATCTTTCTTCTCATTGAATTAAGTGAAAGTAGCTGTATATCTATCCTATTTTGTATATATAAATATAAAATGATCTTTCCTTTGTATCCCCTTGTTTTGTTTAGTCCTGTCAGAGGTGGATATTCTATTGGCATCTAAATACTATAGGTGTTTGAATTCAGCAAAACAATCCAACACTGTCTAGCAGTCTATAATATTAGTGGGTTATCCTTAGAAGTTATTGACTTGAGCCTTTTACAGCTCATTGTATTAATATGGCTTTACTTTATAAATCTTGTTTTTATACTTTTCTGCTGGATGGTTAAGACCAAGATAAAGCAAGACCTATATAACAAGAAATGTAACTTTTGTATCTGATAAGGTCAGTCAAGTACCCTCAGGGTTTATCCTGTAGCCCTGTACCACACTTTATAGATCCTGTCAGTGTCAGCCATGAAGATGAGTCACAGCCATTGCTTGACCAATTTGCTCTCTGTGAAAGCCTGAGAGAATGTTTTTTCTCTCCATGTGACTCTCCCCAGGCACAATATACATCAACAATCACATTCCTGTGTGGCTCCATAATCTCCTTGATCAGAAAATTTGGAGAACAACTGAGTTAAATGATGTTACAGTACAGGTTCTCCTATGTCCCGAGTCTTCACTGACCTTGAAAGGTGAGGGCCAAAATGTTGGCTGACCTTGTAGCCCTTCCTTTTCTCCAATTTTGATCTGCTAACTTAGGTTAACCCTCCAGAAGAGAAGCTTATTATTAACCTGCAATATATGCAGTTTGGTTTACCCTATCTGTCTAAATATCAAACACCTTTGGCATATCATGGAACAGGTATTTTCCATCAAATATTGATATGTTGAACTTTTAAGTCCTTACAGAAAATGAAGGAAAAATAATTTTTAAAAAACTAGAAATAAGCATTTACATATTTTTACAAAGAAATTTAGAAATCTAACCATATACAGAATTGTAACAGGACTTGCGGCATTTCTTTTCTTATTCTTGTCTTTTTTTTCATTTATTACCCTTTTTCCGTTTTGTTTCTGTTAGTGCTGAGGTGCCTCTCTGGATTATTTTTCTAAGATGAAGAAACAAGCTCAAGACACTATATGTGGAAGCGGAGTGTGTTTGATGTGCCGTTTATAAGAACTAAAAACATATATGCCCAGTGTTACGGCACAAAGATGGAAGAGGGTCATTAATGTCCAAAGCAGCAGTGAGGTCTCTGGATAGGGTGAAAGAGGTGAGACTGAGGATAAGAAAGCTTTTTGGTTTTTTTGTTTTGTTTTGTTTTTTGGTGGAAGCAGGGGTTGAACTCAGACCCTTGTGCTTGCCAGAGAAGCACTTATTCCACTGAGCCATCTCCCCAGCCCCAAGAAAGCTTTTGGTGCTTAACCGAAGAGGCTGACTTCTGGTTCTGCTACCTCTACCTTCACTTTTCTCACCAATGAACTGCAGTATTTGTTGGCACTGCTCTAAAGATTAAATTAGTATGTAAAAAAATGATTAGAACAACATCTAGTGTGTATCAGTGAATACATGTTATATATTAGGATGCTAAGGTCAGCAGTTCAGGCAGAGTGTAAGGAGGTGAAAATACATTTTTGTTGAGGAAAACAGTAAAATAGCACTTTGTGTTGGAGGTGTAGCTGGAGATAAGTTTGGAAAGGTCATCTGACTTTATTTCTTGTATGATTTCAAACATGTTTTATGAGAAAAATCAGTATTTTTAATACCACAAGCTTTATTTAGGGCTTTATCACCTCTTACAGTGTTCTAAAAGCCTCCTAAATGTTTTGTCTTAATTCTCAAGCAAACCCCAGATGTGTCTCCTGATAGGAGAAATGACTATATTACAGGGTTCAAGACAGATGTTCCTGGCAATTTATTAGTTGTAAAAACAGAAATTAATGGTTCTAAATTTCTTCTGTGTTCATTTCTGTCTTATTATTCTTTTTACATGTCTTAACTGCCCTACTGGATTATAAACTTGGGGCAAAAATTATCCTAGACTGGAAGTACATTAGGTTCTTTTAGGAAAACCTGCTGTATACTATGTAATGAATGAATATTACTGTTACGAATAACCTATTCAACCAAATAGGCTTAACATCTTATAACTGAAGTGACATAGGAATAGCCTATTTTTAAATTGAGATTGGGCTTAATGTGAAAAATAATAGTTTCTGTCAAAGTTAATTCAGGTCTTATCTAAGCTAATTAATTATGCTGGGCTGTGTTTAAAAATCACTTTCCTTGATGTTTTAGTTATTTTGAGAGTAGAAGAAAGAGAAGTATGTCTTATGAGGCCAGGTATGGTGGTGCGCCTGTATTCCTAGCACGGAGGAGTCAGGCAGGAGGAGTATGTCTCAAGAAGCCAACAAAATTAGATTAAATGGACAGTGTGTTGTAGTTAAAAAAAAAAAAAAAAAAAGAAGAGCTGCCAGACATTTTTTATGACTTAATCATGCTAATTTAAACATAAGTTTAAACTTAGAACTTTTCTTGTACTTCCAATTTTAAGTCCTTCAGTGCTTCTGTTACTTTCTGCTTTTTATTAGGGCAAATTATGAATAGCACCTATTTAAATTTTGTTTTGAGGCAGGGTCTCTCTATGTAGTTCAGGCTAGCCTTCAGCTCATGGTCGGTCAGTGGTTGGTCGGTCTGTCAGTCGGTCTGTCTGTCTGTATCTCCATCTCCCAGGTTGGCTTCAAACTCATGGGGATCCTCCCACCTCAACCTCCCAAAAGCTAATGAGATTATAGGTATCTGCCACCACACCAGGCTTATATTTCAATTATTGACGTTTTCATCTTTTTTAGGAGGAAGAAGAAGAAGAAGAAAACAGGATGTCTGAAGAAGCAGAAAGGCAATTCCAGCAGAGTAAGCTGCAGGCTAATTCCACTGTTCAGATGGATCAACCAGAAACAGTGGTATCCAGTTCCTTTGTAAATCTTAATTTTGAAATGGAGGAAGACTGTGGAGTAATGGCAGAAGGCAAACAAAACCCAGGCTCTGTTCCACCATAGAAGGAAATGACTATCAAACTTTGAATGCTAATTTTTTTTCCCAGTACCAGGAACTTTCACATTCTTCATTCAGTGGAATATAAAACAATTATTTATACTTTAAATTATTAACTTATCTGGAAAGGAAAAAAAAATGTTTCTTCATTTTTAGGCTGTATTTAGTAAATGTCAGACCTGAATTTGGATATTTCTACTCTGCTTTCACTGTGTGTTGAATTAGTGCTTTAGCTTTTCTTTTTGGGGGAATAGTGCTGGGGAGCTAAGCCAGGACATGTAAGCAAGCACTTTACCCCTGAGCTACACCCTTAGCTCAATGTTTTGGTTTTAAAATGATCCTTAAAAGAAAAAACTAAGGCTTTAATAAATTAAAAGTTAAATTAGCAAGCGCATCTGTTATTTGTGAATTTGTGAAAGAGATTTAAAAAGGTAAACTCTTGAGTAAGGCTAAGAGGAGCCAATCCTGTAATTTCAGATTAAAAAGATGTTTTTTCCCCCTGAGAAATCCATGCTACGCCTTGCATTTAAAACTTTACATTTGGGGCTGGTGAGATGGCTCAGTGGTCTAAGGCACCTACTTGGAACAAGCTTGGCAAAGCACAGGGACCACGGTTCGATCCCCCAGCACCACATGCCAGCCAGTCTGCCCCCTGGTGGACTGAGCTGGCCACACACACACACACAAATAAATAAATAAATAAATTAAAAAAAAAAACATAAAATAAAATTTATAAAAAAAATAAAAAATAAAAAAAAATAAAACTTTACATTTACTTTATCTGCTAATTTCACAGTAAGGATGGTTCACTGAACATACAGTAAGCACAATGAAAGCATATTTTGAGTTCACTCAGAAAAACTTTTGGAGAACTGTTTACATACTGATATTAATATGGGTTTCTATTTTTTAACACAAGCCAGTTAATCTTGTATTTTTTAGTAGTTACTAAAATTAATAAGCTTATGGGCTAGGGAGATAACTCAGCAGTCTCAGAGCCTGCATGGTTTGATCCCTGGTACTGCACAGCTTTGCTGGCCCTGGAACCCTGGGCGTGGTGCACACCTATAATCCCAGCACTGGGGAGGCTGAGATAGGAGGATCACTACGAGTCTGAACTGCATTGCAAGACCATATTAAAAAAAAAAAAAACTTAAAAAGTAATTAATCATTATGTTAACAACTTCTAAACAACACTTAAGCTTTCAATCATGAATAAAGATATGTAAAATACAGCTTTAAAAGATTATATACATAATGGGCCTATTCATGGAAGCCTACTGTTGATAAACATGAACTGAAGTTTTAACTGAGGCTGAAGTTTTTCAACTGACAGTTGAAAGATGAAATTGAAAGTTGAAGTTCTTCAAACTCTATTTGTTCACTGAAATTTGAGAAAGTTAGGAAAGATAAACTCTTCTTAGGAGTCTTTAGTTATGTGGATTCATGGTATGTGATGGTAATCTTTTTGTTCATGGGTATAAACTATAACTTAGTGCTGAAAATTAATTTTGAGATAATATGTCACCATAAATTATACTTCATTAACAGCCCTAAAGCATGCTAACCCAACTCCTTCCAATTTATTTTGTCAGTTTTTACTACTAAGACTTTACCTAGAAACCTGATTGTAGAAGATAGTAACTTATGAAGGTTTTATATTTTTTGAATTTTATTTCACCACTTGTTCAATAGTGGCCAGTTTGTAATGTTTATATAGTTACTCATTGTGCCTTACATTTTTATACTCTTTTCGTTTATGCAAGCTATAAAATTTCTCATAAATGCATTAAATGAGTTGTTATTTTGAGCCTGTTTTTGCCTTTTTCTACATCCCAGAGCTCTGAAGTATTCTCTCTGATCAGTTCATGACACTCTACTTTCTTCTCATCTCATAAAAACTAAGCACAATAGTTATTATAATGGAAGAGCCTCTACATTGAGTTAACAAATTCTTTAATAAAATTCCTTAACAAAGGGAGGTATAGTTTTATAAATGCAATCCTGATACTGATTAGTAAAGCTAGAAAAACATTTCATACTAGTACTTTACTGAATGTTGTCAGAAATATTTGATGAAAACTTCATCTCTAAAGATTATAGAGATTAAAACTGAACCCTTTATACTCATAGCAAACCACATTTATCATATTTGAGCTAAACAAAATCAGAACTTACCTCTTGAAAAGCAGAGCTTGGTCTTATTGCTTCTAAACTACTGCAACCAAAATTGCAATAATCACAGTATTTTCTGATTGTGCCTATAAAACACATACGTTCTATAGTCATATGAAGTGTTTTATTTAGACCATTTTTAAGGAGTCTGCTTCAGAGGTTTCATTGCAGCATTCAAGTATCTTAATAAAGATAGCCCAGTCTTTCAGAGATCATGTATCATCAAGGTCAGCAGAGTTCTCATTGTCATTTGCTACAAGGGCTTCTCTGTTCTCATAAGTCCAGAAACCATTCAGATCAATTAGAATGGTAGTGACTGTGTCTCCTTGGTTACTGTTGATTAAGTCCTGGAGAGAAATTTTCAAAGGATCTTTTGGTTTTACCATATCAAAGATTTCATCCTACAAGAGAGAAAAAAAATAATGTATTCTGATTCACTTAATTTCTATCACAATGATCTAAAATACAAGAGTTTTACTGGATTTCTAATCTATATGATGACTATGCCTTACTTTACAGACCAAGAAAATGGAGGCTCAGACTTTAATCCAAGGTACTTAGCTAATTAGTGGCTAAACTATCTAATGCAGTGTCCTCTGAGTTTATATTAACTCTTTGTATTTTCTTATTGTCTTCTAATTGATGGCAGAACAACCCTTTTTTTTTTTAACATTTTTTTAAGTTTATTTATTTATTTAGAGAGTGTGTGTGTGTGTGTGTGTGTGTGTGTGTGTGTGGCCAGCTCAGCCCACCAGGGGGCGGGGCTGGCTGGCATGTGGTGCTGGGGGATTGAACCGCGGTCCCTGCGCTTTGCTAAGCTTGTTCTAAGTTGGTGCTTTAGACCACTGAGCCATCTCCCCAGCCCCCAGAACAACCTTTTTGTTTTAATATGTTCACCCCAGTCCTGGGCATCAGACCTGGGGCCTTTTGTGTGAGGCAAGTACTCTACTTCTGAGCTACATCCTTGCCCTTGAGTTTAGTTTTGTAAGTTCAAACTTAAAGTAAAAATTTATGTTTCAGAGACAGATGAAACATTTCCAACACTAAAACCAACTTTATATTTTAGACCAAGGAGGGGAAGGTGATATGAGTTTAGTAATAAAACAGTCATCCAGGATGATGCTAATTGTGCTTAAACTTAGTGAAATTCATAGAAGAGTCTATTGGTCTTAGAGACTGAACCCATAGCCTCTTACTGAGCGACACTGCTTGCATTAGCTTTCCACAGTGCTGGAATTACAGGAGTATGCCTGTAAACGCCTCTACATTATGAAGTGTGCAATATAATTATTTCCAAGGAATTAATTTGCACTTCTAATCTTTTTGTAGTAAAATTGTAATATTCAGTAGAATTTAAGAAGGCAAAATATATTTTCAAAAGATTAAAATAATTCAGGTACATAAGATACACAAACTTCTAATATTCTATGTTTACTCCTTTTTCTAGATTGGTTGTAGTTTAAAATTGCTGGCTAAATTGCCCCACTGGAAAGTTTCAGATCTTCATTTATATTAAACTATAATAGCCCTTTATTTTAAACTGGTAGGGTATTATGTTACTCAGCTTGAACCAAAGAAATTCTGCATGTACTGGACATTTTTTCTTTTTTTTTTTTTTTCCTTGGTACCAGGAATCAAACTCAGGACCCTGTGCTTGTCAGGCAAGTGCGTGCCACTGAGCTATATCCTTGGCCCTGGACATTTTCATAACCAATGAGGCTGATTACTAAAAATGCTAAGTAGCAGCATGTGTTTCAAATGATGGTGGTTTTCATATTGTAGGGCTGTTGCCTCAAACCTAACATATCAAATCAAATAGGCTCTTTGAGGTACCATACTAAAAAAGGTCTTGGAATCTAAATAGTTTTCAAGATAAAAACTCAAGTTTTTAGTGGAATATGCCATCAAAGGATGCAAGCAAAATCGATTCTCTTAGCTTTCATTTAAAATTCATGCTTCCAGGGGCTGGTGAGATGGCTCAGTGGGGGGCTGGTGAGATGGCTCAGTGGTCTAAAGCACCAACTTAGAAGAAGCTTAGCAAAGCCCAGGGACCACGGTTCAATCCCCCAGCACCACATGCCAGCCAGCCCGCCCCCTGGTGGGCTGAGCTGGCCACACACACACACACACACACACACACACATAAATAAATAAAATTTAAAAATAAAAATAAAAATAAAATTCATGCTTCCAGTGAGAATATAAGACTGACAATGTTAAAACTGTACGCTATATAAATTAATCACAATGAGCTAAGGGGCAGGCCCCACAAGTCCAAATGTGTTTCATTAAATATCAGTTCAAAGTAACAGTAAATACCTGATTGGGAATAGTACTTTATACTTCATATGTTGCTTTCATGTCAAATTTCATGTAATACAAATGATTATCTAGCATTGCTATGGTAATAGTGTCTGGTTATTGTATATAAATTAAAGGAAAAGGTAACCTTAACATCTTGAAATGAAACAGGATCTTGTCCATGGATTTTCATTAGTTCTTGTATTGCCTGTTTAGTGGAAATAAATTTTTAAATAAAAAATGATTTTGACAGTATCCCACCTCTTGTTCCACAGCCCCCTTCTAGTTCCATTTCTTTCCCATTAGACCACACACCTCCTTATCTCAACCTCTCCTGCTAATCTTAACTTCCTCAGCCTTGTTCTGCATCCAGGCAGCAAACAATGCAATGGCTCAGTGTGACCACTGATCTCTGTACATTTACACTTCAGCTGTAGAGAGCTTTAAGAAAATAAGACCATGGGTTGTTGCTACTATTCAGAAATATTCTCTAAACTAGCAATTATTCTAAGGCCTGCCCCTTTCACTTTCTGTGAATGCTGTTCATACTTTCTCTGTTCTCTAAAATCCTCTACCACCTCCCTTCTCACTCTATACCTTGCATCTTCTATTTAGAAAAACATAGAATTTCTTCGAACTATTTTTTATAAACTTCAACAACCAGACTGAAGAAACTACTGTTACTCATTCAACTAAAATACTTTAGAGTCATTCCCTGAGAAGTGTGAAGCTTAAAACTCCTAGTAGGCAACTGAATGTGCGCCAGATACGTAGAGCACGTGGTGCTACTGATAGGCATGTTATTTATCCCCTGGGAATCACTACAAGGGGCAGAATTTCTGGGTACCCTCTCCTACAGTTGTAGACAGACATGGACAGGATGTTGTAGGGTCTCCTGGCCCAGGTCTACCGCTTAGGTCCTGATGATGTATAGCGGCTCTACACACAGCTTATGATTCCAGGGATCAACGCCACCAACTTTTTACCTTAGCCCATAAATTCAAGGCTAAATAAACTTTGATTACAAAAAAATTCATGTAAGAAATATTATTAAACTATTGTTTAAAACAAAATTTAACATTCTAAGGGGGAAGATACTCCAAAGAAAATTTTTTGAGGAGTGGAATGTTTTAAGTTATTAATGATTTGCTTTTCTACTACTGAATTTTCATTTAATAGATTTGCCTAAAGTGGGGGCATCCCTATGATGGGTTGGGGCTACCCTCTCATATTAGCCTTTGATGTAATTTATGACATTAAATTTTTAACATTTTAAAATTTTGCTGTTAGGGACAGAACCCAGTAACCTAGGGCCTTGTGCATGTGAAACAAGCTCTCTACTACTGAGCTACACTTCTGTCCCTGCATCAAACTTTTAACAAATGTATTCTAGGGGCTGGTGAGATGGCTCAGTGGTCTAAAGCACCCACTTAAAACAAGCTTAGCAAAAAAGCACAGGGACCATGGTTCAA